GCCTATGGGTGGAATTTTCACATTATATAACATGATTTTATTATCTTAATTTTAACTTTATTCTTAAAATATTATGACATTAATTTTATTTATTTAGTTATTTTTAAACATGGCACAAAAATGCTGCCGTATAGGCTACTGAATGCAAACACAATTTTGGCACATCAGCCCAAAAAACAAACAAACAAACAAAAAAAATTATAAAAAAAAAAAAAAAAAAAAAAAAAGTCAACATTGCAAGTAAACTCAGAATTCAGAGAAAAATAGTCAAAATTGCGAGACAAATTCAGAATTCTGAGGGGGAAAAAAATTGTGACAAGTAAACAGAATTCTGCGGGGGAAAAAAAGTCAACATTGCAAGTAAACTCAGAATTCTGAGGAAAAAAGTCAGAATTCCAAAATGTAAAATCACAATTATTAGTTTACATCTTTCAAATGCCAGATATAAGCTGTGAGAAATTGTGAGAAAAATGATAAGGAGTCACAATTACCTTTCTTATATTTCTATTCCTCGGCAGAAATAAGCTTCCATTGTATACTGCCTTCAATTTTATGTTTTTGTAAAACAGCATGCAACAATAAATGCTGGCCAGTTACCCATATGGTTATTTAGCATTGTTCAATACAATTTTCAATATGCGTGTTTTAACTTTCTCTTGTCAGGTGTGTGGAGCTGGTCATCTGCGAGCAGATGAGGAAATATAAAGCCCGTCTGAAGGACATCAACACACTAGAGTTTGCCGAGAACAAAGCCAAGAGTCGGCTGACGCACATCCGGAGATCTCTGGTGAGTGATTCGAGCCCTCAGAGCCCCAGACTGACCCAGGACCTGCGCCCTGATGCTGCCACACTCATGACCTTCCCATTTAAACCCTGCCCCTATTGTGAAGCCGCACTTTCCATGAATGAGCTACATACTAAAGTGTCCTGTGAAATGTAGAGGCACAAATCCCATGTTCCCCATGTATTGACAACTGTTGAGTATTTTAGGTAACTTGATGGTTTTGTCAACCATTCACATTTGATGGCTTGATATATTATTATTATTTAATCTATTTATTTTTAATTAATGTTACACTGATAGCTTAATTTATGCTATATCTGTAATGTTGATATGTTTTTTAAACCATTCACATTTGATAGCTTAATTTGGTCTAAAAAAAATAAAAAAATATATATATATAAGACTGTATTTATTTTTGTTTATTTAATGATCTTAATCTATGCTAAATTTGTGATTTTTTTTTTAAACATTCACATTTGATAGCTTATTTTAGGCTATAAATATACATTTTATATATACATATTTATATAAATTAAAATTAAATGTATATATATTTTAAATATAATTTTTTAGGTTTATTTTTGTTAATTTAATGTTACATTAATATCTTAATTTAGGCTAAATCTGTAATCTTTATTATTTTTTAATCATCCGCATTTGATAAGTTATAAATATACATTTAATATAAACATAAATATTTATATATATTTTTTGAATTTATAATTATTGTTTATTTATTGTTAAATCGACATCTTAATTCATTTGTAATGTTTATTTGTTTTTTAAACATTCACATTTGATAGCTTAATTTAGGCTATAAATATCATTTTTTTATATAAATATAAATTATATGTATATATTTTTTACATTTTATAATCTTATAATTTTGTTATCGTATTAATCTTTATAAAATATCTTTATTATTTTTTAATCAATCCCCATTTTGATATCTTAATTTAGGCTTAATCTGTAATCTGTACAAATTTTTTTGATATAATTATTTTCTGTTTATTTTTCTGTTTAATGCTAATTGCTAGAATCAAACCAGACGAATCAGTGTTTTAAACCGTATTCAATCATGTCCCAAATTCTGGGATGCATGGTTGCAGAAATGTACAAACTTCACGTAAAATAAATTTAAAAAAAATAGCTAACATACAGTAAGTGTGACCTTCTCAGTTGGACTTCGAGTCTTATTTTGTCCCTCATTCATGGAAAGTGTCACATCTTCACGCCCTGCTGTTTCCGGACAGACGGTCCACTAACCCTGTTTTCTTCCCTGTCCTCCTCTTCAGAAGCCAGTACTAATTGCGGTTAGGTTTATTGGCATTACAAGAACGGCCCCCCCGGTATGTATCCACGAGTGCGTGTCCGTCCCAGTGTCAGTGTAGCGTCGTTAGCCATGCGTGTTTATTTGCGGATGTTGAGGACGCTCCAGCTGATTCTGAAATGCTGTCGTGTGATTGGTTGTGAGGAGCGGTCCTGTTTGTCTTGTGTTAACCGCGCATGCGGCGTGCTGCTGTGTCACTGACACGTCCTCTTCTTTTATTTCTCCTGCATTCGCTTCTTGTGCGTTATTACACAGCCAAACGCAGTGAAAACGGTAAAGCTGGGTGACTGTGTGTGTTAGTGTGTGTCTGTGTTAAGCTGCAGTCCAGACTTTGTGTGTTATTCATTCACATGCAACACAAGCCAGAAAATATATATATATAAGACTGTATTTATTTTTGTTTATTTAATGATCTTAATCTATGCTAAATTTGTGATTTTTTTTTTAAACATTCACATTTGATAGCTTATTTTAGGCTATAAATATACATTTTATATATACATATTTATATAAATTAAAATTAAATGTATATATATTTTAAATATAATATTTTAGGTTTATTTTTGTTAATTTAATGTTACATTAATATCTTAATTTAGGCTAAATCTGTAATCTTTATTATTTTTTAATCATCCGCATTTGATAAGTTATAAATATACATTTAATATAAACATAAATATTTATATATATTTTTTGAATTTATAATTATTGTTTATTTATTGTTAAATCGACATCTTAATTCATTTGTAATGTTTATTTGTTTTTTAAACATTCACATTTGATAGCTTAATTTAGGCTATAAATATCATTTTTTTATATAAATATAAATTATATGTATATATTTTTTACATTTTATAATCTTATAATTTTGTTATCGTATTAATCTTTATAAAATATCTTTATTATTTTTTAATCAATCCCCATTTTGATATCTTAATTTAGGCTTAATCTGTAATCTGTACAAATTTTTTTGATATAATTATTTTCTGTTTATTTTTCTGTTTAATGCTAATTGCTAGAATCAAACCAGACGAATCAGTGTTTTAAACCGTATTCAATCATGTCCCAAATTCTGGGATGCATGGTTGCAGAAATGTACAAACTTCACGTAAAATAAATTTAAAAAAAATAGCTAACATACAGTAAGTGTGACCTTCTCAGTTGGACTTCGAGTCTTATTTTGTCCCTCATTCATGGAAAGTGTCACATCTTCACGCCCTGCTGTTTCCGGACAGACGGTCCACTAACCCTGTTTTCTTCCCTGTCCTCCTCTTCAGAAGCCAGTACTAATTGCGGTTAGGTTTATTGGCATTACAAGAACGGCCCCCCCGGTATGTATCCACGAGTGCGTGTCCGTCCCAGTGTCAGTGTAGCGTCGTTAGCCATGCGTGTTTATTTGCGGATGTTGAGGACCCTCCAGCTGATTCTGAAATGCTGTCGTGTGATTGGTTGTGAGGAGCGGTCCTGTTTGTCTTGTGTTAACCGCGCATGCGGCGTGCTGCTGTGTCACTGACACGTCCTCTTCTTTTATTTCTCCTGCATTCGCTTCTTGTGCGTTATTACACAGCCAAACGCAGTGAAAACGGTAAAGCTGGGTGACTGTGTGTGTTAGTGTGTGTCTGTGTTAAGCTGCAGTCCAGACTTTGTGTGTTATTCATTCACATGCAACACAAGCCAGAAACACAATTATATGCCTTTTATATAATTCTGACCTTTTATATAAACAAGTATATACACACTTTTTATTTTATTTTATTTATTTTATGCAATGCATTGCAATGTTAACCTGGCAGTGGGATTATTACAAAAATCTAAATTCCAATTCCAAAATGAAATAATACTTTAAATGTTAAGTGTTAAATGCAACATTTATATATTTGATTAAATTCGTTTTTTAATATAATTTAATTTAAGTGTAAATAGTAATTCCAAATTACCAACAATGCCTTTCTCTTAGATAAAAAAACTTTAGTTTTTATGAATTATAAACTCAAACTTTTGACATTTTATCATTTTTTCACTTATTTTTGTTTATTTAATGTTACATTGATAGCTTAACTTATGCTGTATCTGTAATGTTAATGTTTTTTTAACAATTCATATGTGATAGTTTAATTTAATATTTAATTTTAAATTTTTTAAATGTTTAATATTTCATATTAATATTTTATATGAACA